TTCTTCGCTGTGCTGATATGATGATGGAGGGGTATCTCAAAGACCAGTAGCAACTACATGACCAAAAAGGATTATAATGTTGTGCAAGGACTAAGATCTCTAGACGCTGCCGTATTTCAAAGCTAGATGTGGAGGGGACTTTACTTCCAACAAATATTTTCAAATTTAGACCGACTATTCACAGTGTTCCTTATTAATCGAATCAGGTACCTGAACAATAGTTCTAATGTAATGGGATAATCGATATGTTTGAGTAAGAGCATCTTAGATACTTGCTGAAGATATCATGTACCTGTACCAAACGTTCTAAGAAGAAATCCTCCCGGATATCTTAGGATTGATGCATTTTTCCGATTTACGCTCACAAATCTATGGTGCTGTTAAGATGCAGATTGCGATGCTTCTGTGGCACAGCTTGCTGCGTGTTAAGCCGCTTGTTGCAACAACTGCTAAGCCGGTAGGCAAAAAAAAGGATAATAAATGAAATGAAAGGAAAGGAAAAAATCCCAACTAATTTCCTGCAGGAATGCAAAGTAAACAAAACAGCAGCAGCAGCAGCGTTGTGGCAGATATACCAAATAATATGAATCTCCGAGACCAAAAAGAATCTCACAAAACAGCAGCAGCATCAAAGGCAACGGAAGACAACGAAATCTTTTTCTGTAGCAATTGGTTTAATCCGCCAAAGGAAACATGCCGCTGCCACAGGAGGTATATCTTTCGCCAGCTTTGATTTGCTTTTTCGTGGCTTTTGCTTTGCTTTGGCTCTAATTTGGACTTGGACTTGGTCGTGGTCGTGGTCTTTGGCTTGGGCTTGGGCTTTTGCTTTTGCTTAGAAGCGAAGGGTTGACCCAGAACGCCAGCGATTGAGAGATGAGATCTCATCTCTGGAATCTGTTGGCTCGCTGTTTGTGTGTTGGTGATCTCATGATCAGGTTTCTCAGGAGAGTTGGCGGTTGGAAATATGATTTTGGCTGAGTTTAGGGGCTTTCCTGCCCGCTTCATTGTTTTTTTTTCTTTCTTCTTATGCATGTATATGTATATATATACATATATATATATTTATATGATTTTGCCCCTCGTGTTTGTTCATTTTCTAGTCGCAAAACGCAAAACACGTTTCTCATATTTCCAACTCGCTCTCTTTTTGCTGCGAGTGCGCGCTCAAACATTTTTAATTATACAAGAGGCTTCCCTGCTTCTAATGTTTGTTCACTTGCGGATGAGGAGGGGCAGGGAACTGAGGCTGTTTGCCAATTTGTCCTTTGCCACTTTGCTGTCTTTTTTTTTTTTTTTTTTTTGTTTTTTTTGTTGTCTGCCTCAGCTTCTAATCGCAACCCTTTGCTGTTCACCATCGCCATCTGTATCTGTATCTGCGTATCTGTATCTGCGCCTCGCCACTTAGCCGTAGTAGAAGGAGCTGCAGACTCTCTGGAAGCCAGCAGCAAATTTGATTCCCATCGATTATCAACTCGCAGGGAGTCCTTCGTGCTGCTTGCTTTCGTGATCCTGCTGATCCTGCTGCTGCTCGCCTTTTTTGATTGACAGTCAAATTAGTAGAGCTCCTTGGGCACAGAAGGCCGCCCGTGTATTTGTGCCATTCCATTCAGCTTGGGGTAGCATTGGATGCGATCTAGCCAAGCTTAGAGCAACAGCTGCTCCTTCTCAAAGAATCAAGGCCTGACCTTGGTTTATCGCTCCATTCATTCCGATCGCCCCCGCCTTTGTCGTCACTCCACAAAGCCAGCCAAAATCGAGCCAAAAACACGATTCACATGAGACCACGCTTATGTGCACATATATAGAGATGATCGTGCACTGAGCCAAACCAAGATAGCCTTCCATAACTAATCTATATTCAAAGGTAATAGAACCCGGGTTAGTTCCATCAATATTTTGTTGAATACTAGTCTAGTGACCTTTTCCATAATTTCCTTTTGTCCAGTTTTCCTCTTTCCAGATTTCACATTTCCACACTTTTCAAAAGGAAGTTCCCACTTTTCGGAATTAGAATCTAGAACTGATTTCCTCAGTGTACCTCCGTTGTATAGAATGAAATGAATGAAATCAAGTACTGCGGGATTTGCGGGGGAGGCGGGTACACTTTACCTACATTTGTCCAAAAACAACAATCTGCTCTGTGGCCCATATTGGGTTTGTTGGGTTAGTTGAAAAGTTGCTAGGAGGGGAGGGACAGGAGGCTGGGTAAGGCGTGGCCCGCCAAATTTCCGCTGCTGCGATTTACGAATTGCGAATTGCGAACTGCGATTGCTGGAAGTTGAAGTTGTTGCACAGCGGAAGAGCAGAAGGACACCGACTTTGGCAAATCGCTTCGGACAGCAAACAGGATGCACATATTTTTTGTTGAACTCCTACGCCAGGTAGACAGGTAGTCCAGAATGTGTGTTTCTGTGTGTACGTACGTGGGAGTTCAGGTACAAAACAAGAACAGTCTTGGCCTGCCCTAATTTCAAGGTGATGCTGTAACCAGGTTAAGCATTTGACCGTCGTTTAAGAGGTCTTCAAAGATATCTTTCTGATTCCATTTGGAAGGGTTTCACTTCAAATCGAGTCTTTAATTTCTCTTATGTTGTATTAGTATGTATGCAAATTATATGAACATTAAAAAGGGCCTGCAGTCTAAGCATCTTGCTTACCTTTGACATTTGCTTTAAAAAGAAAAATATGAATTTGTTTTGTTCAAGCCTTTGCATATCCAACAGCATTGCATTCCGATTGGCAGCACTCTATCGTTAATCGAAAATCGATTATGTTGCATCTAATTTTGAATCATCTTCCTTCCCCCAGTCTTCCTCCCTACGTCTCGTTCTCACTCTTTTGCGACAAATTCTTGCTGTTCTTTTCGTCTTCTTGTTTTTCTTATTTTCTACCACATTTTTGTGTGCTCCTTTTTGTGCTTGTGTTCATTAGAAATTTCCAAGAATTCGAACGACAACGCACACATGCGCAGCGTTCGAACTAAATGAGAGAAAGAAAGAATAGCGAGGTATGGCAGATCTGAAGATTCGTGTTACTGCTGGCTTAGTTTTCCAAAACCAAAATCAAGAAAAAACAAAAAAGAAAAAAATAAGGAGCCGCAAACACACGTTCCTCTCTTTTTGGGTAAAGAGAGAGAGAGGTGGCAAGACTGAAGCGAGGGAGATGGCGCGAGAACTTCTTCTTCCAGCGTTCTATAGATCGATGCAGTACACCCGTATTGAACTTGCAAAGTATATTGAGATACACAATGTGCAAAAAATTTACCTTTAATCCGATATGAAATTAATAGACTTACATTTGTATAAAATATTTTAAAGGAAGAATATGCACATACTTATTAAAACGTTGAACTCAATAATAATTTAGAACTACCTTGTAGGAGTACGTCCTTGTGATCCGATAGTGCTATTGTCCTGTGTTATTGCCATCGACCTGCGAACACCGCACTAGGGGATAGCAACTGTTGTTCCGGTACACGTGGCAGGGTGCGGGGGCGGAGCCGGACGAGGACACCTCTCCAGGACTTTCTTCCTCCGTTAGGACCACTTTCTTTTCGTTTCGGCACCAGCTGCAAGTTGCGATCGGTTGGCAGGGCAACAAAAATGAGAAACCAACCCTTTTCGTGTCTTCGAGTCTTCCCGCTGATCTTCAAGATCCCCGTGATCGTGGCGTGTTCTTCGACACGCAGGTAGGACCTCGAAATTGGCTGATAGGGTCCTGTCCCGATCTCGATCCCGATCCGATCCTATCCGATCCGATCCTGTCCTCTTCCTGCCTAGGCCATTGTTTGTTTTATTTGTGCGCCACCGCGAGTGAAGAAAGCATTTCACCGATGACTTAAGGGTTGCGAATACCCCCATTACCTTTTCTTTCCCTTTTTCCATTTGATTCGATTCGTTTCAATTCGATTCGCGTTCAAGTCGACAGCTGCCGTAAAAAGCTTTGCTCGGTTTCTTCGACGAGATGCAAAGCTTGGCGAGAGCTTTTGCGATCTTCATCTGCGTGTGATAGCGAACATCGTTGTAGATACTGTCAATTATGTATAAAATAATAGTAACAAGATTTTTACGTCTTTCATAAAAAAATTACTATTATCAAGTACAGACCAATTTTATCAACATAATTTCGAAACACTTTGTATTTAATTAAACGTGTTCCAATGCAAAAGCCTCAATACTCATGAATAACATTTCACAAATTAATTGTTTGGTTATAAAATATATGCCTTATATTTCCTAAAGGGGGCACTATGCAATTGACCGCGAGTGTTCGGTATTTTGTAGGTGTTTGCGCACTATCAGCGATTCGCTTCACTTTTCTCTCCTCTTAATTCTGTATTAACTTTAAGCGGATTGTTGCTCGCCTTCTTACAACTGTTTTTACCGTTGCTTTCGCTTCATTCCGGCACTTTTGCGGTCAACACATGTTGGCCAAATAAATTTTTCAAAATGATTTTCACTGCAGAGAGAGCGCGGCAGAGACGAAGCACTACACTCGACTGCATAAAAATAGAACTTGTAATTGGTATTGATCTAATCTAATTAAAGTTATTCTAGCCATATGAATCTAAGCCATCTCTATCCAAATATTAATATTTTGAAATGCAAACTTACATATGTGTTTCATAAGAATGTCAATGAACTTGTTTTAAGGACCTGTTAAGTTTTCTCTAAATTTTGATTAAGTAATAACGGATTACCAGAAAAACATAATATTCCTTGATATATTTATTAAGAAAGCGTGTGAACGAAAACATACCCTCTAATTATTTTCTAGCAGGATCACTTGACTTTGAAAAACTGTTAGACACCGCATTCAAACATATTCACTTCGAACCGCTTCTGTCTGGCAACGCCATTCAACGTAACCGCCTAACGTGGTCATTTCTCCTTCTTCTCCTACTGCTGCCGTCCTCTCTCCGCGAACAACAACAACACCACACACATGGGCGAAAAACCCGAAGTTGTTCTTATTGGAGCTCGGCTACTGACTCTCGCCTCTCTCACTCTCTTTGAAATTTTTATTTGTCCACATTCACATTTTCGCATTCCCGTTCGTTGGGGAGCTCAGTATTTAAATACTCTCTGCATTTTGCGGTCGTCTTTTTCGGAAATACGCGCGGCGTAGTTGCACAACAACAACAAGAACAACAGCGACAGAAAAGAGCAACTAAAGGAATAACTACATCAACACACACGACTAATTTCACAAATCAGAAACTGAAACGGCAAAAATTATAAAATATAAGTGCGCGTGAGTGTTTATGAGTGTGCGTTGTTTAGGTTGTTATAAATTTTTTTATTACATTTCCTCCTGCACACCTTGTTCTTCTGTGCGAATAAAATTGAAAAAGAATTGAAAAGGTTGCAAAAAACTAGCGGCTTGCGTTTTGCTGCGCTTTTTTTTTTTTTGTTGCTCATACGCATTTGGCATTTAAAACCAACAGCAACAACAACTACAGTGAGTGTGAAGAAGAAATGAAAATAGGTGTCTCAATTTTTTTTCCACGCCCTGCTGCTTCTGTTTTGTAGTTTTTTGTGCAGTTCTGTTTTTTTTTTTGTCCTAAAACGGTTTATCACACGCATATACACTGTTGCATTTCGCGAAAAGAGAAAACACAAAAATCTTGGGCCGGCTTTTCTTCTATCACTCCTCCTCCTTCGCCCTGGAAAATGTGTGTGAGTGTGCGCGAAAGTCAACAATAAAAATCAATTTAGATAATCTGACCTACTTCCCACTAAACTCGCTAAACGCAACAGTTGGCAACCCTGCTATGCTGGCCGCTAATTAGCCAAACACGTTTTTTCCAGTGGAAAAACATAACGGTTCACCGATAAGTATCGATAGTCTGACCGCAAGATCGATTGCGCTGCATTCTATCTATGTGAGTGAGTCATTTGAAAAGGAGGATTAGGGGAAAATATAAAACATACTTAAAAAAAAAAACACGCCAGCGCATCCAGAAGAAATCACAGTTCAGCGGCGAATTAAAGCCCATACGCATGACCAAAAGAAAAAAGAAAGGAGGAGGAGGAAAAGAAGAACGCAAAGAATAAACCAAAAATCATATCAGCGACAGCAGCACTTTTTTTTGCCCCTATCTTCACACAGTTTTTGTGTGTGATTAACAAGTGAGCGCGTGGATCGGGAAAGTGAGACGGAAGAAGGTGGGAGGCGTAGCCGGAGGAGAAGAAGGAGTGGGAGGAGAGCGGCGGAGAGTGAGAGTGTACGAGGGCCCCAATCTCCCCTTCCGCCACATTCTCAATCGGCGCGCGTGTGTGCGTGTTATATTTGTCATAAACGTTCTCCTTCTTCTTTTTTTGCCTTAGTTTTTTTTGCGAATTGTGCGAATAGACAAAATCGAAAAAGTTCATACGAAAGCAAAAAGAAACAACCAGAAGAAGCCAATGCCAAATTGTGTGATCGGTTAAAAAAACAGCGAGAGTGTGGAAAGAAGTGAGAAAATCGAAAAAATAGTTAAACAGAGAGAGAGAGAGAAGATCGCCTTATTAGAGATAAGAGTAAAGTTTTGCTTTTGCACTGCAAACACATAAAAACAACGACAGTAAAAACAAAAATAACTCAGCAGTCGGCCAGCGCAAATAAACAAACACAAAATGCACAGCAACAACAATAGCAGCAGACTTAACAACAACATAAGCAACAACAATTTGTATCAACAAAAACAATCGTTTATACGCTATTTGGATCGGTGAGTTTAACAGCGTACAAACCATTCAGTCCCGAAAAAAAATTCTCATTTCCATGGTAAACACCAAATACTTTAAAGTGGCTCAAATACTACACTTTTGACCCACTGTGCGCACATGTGTACTTCACATTCAATCATTCACAGCAAAAGGTGCGAATCCATCAAAGTCATATGTTGCGTATTTAGATCACATTTATACGACCACTCCCCCTTTTCGCAGCACCAAATCCGCAGATCTGGTTATATCAGATCATCATCACTCTTTCTCCATTAAGTTAAACTGAAGGAAAGTTGTCCGCAAATCGTCGTTAAACCTTAAGTTACACAAACATTACTGGGGTGGGGTGGTATGGTTATTCGAATCTTGTGTAGTAATATTATATATTTGCAAGAGTAAACATAAGTTTGAACTTATTTGGTTTTGTGACAGATGGTTTCAGTTATGGAAGCTCAACTGTAATTCTATTGGATTTGATAAGATATGGGCTAATTTATTTGTTTAGGTGCTTTAGCTAATAATAATGTGTGGAAGCTAAACATGCAACTTAACTTACTTTATTTTCATGTGGATTTTTTCTTTTGAAAAAATATGCCGATGAGCTGGTTTGTTTTTCATTGTGACTGCATTTTTTCTTAGATTTTCAAATGGGTTTATAATAAAATACAGTCCAGTACGTGGAAACTAGACTTTAGCTTCGTTTTGTTTGTTTATTTCCTCTTATTGGCTGGCCACAATGCATATGGCTGTGCCACGCCCACCGTTGCATTCGGCTCTCGACCAACCAGCCTCCGCGCCCCTTCATCTTGTTTTTCTTTTACCACCCTTTTGGTCGTTTTGTTTACGTTTGCATGATGATGATAATCGCCAAAGCACAAATAAACCAACAAATCGAAATGAATAGCAATTGTACTCATGCATTAGAAAATGGAACACATTTGTCATGGATACGAATGTATATTATACAATTACAGCTAAAGTAAGAGCACAAAAATGTCAAAATACGTGATTTCTAAAGTTTTTATTGTAAATGATTCACGATAGCTGAAAATCATAATAAAATAATTATATACGATACGTTTATACGTTTATATTTTGGTGCAGTTTTTATAGAAGATGCTCTTTTTGTGACCGTTTCTGTATTCCTATGTTTGCATTGTGAAAATCGCCATGCCAAACTGATGGTGACAGATTCGCGTTGCTTGCATTGGAAGGCGTACTCTTTGTCAAGTGATGGACTTCACTGTGGGTGTTGCATTTGCCACTTGGAGAAGAAGTGTTGGAAAGGGGTTGTTTGTGGGGGGGTGGTCCCCACACCGCTGTTCACCAATTTAGGTCAAACCAGGCAGCAACAATGTAAGCATTGTGCTTCTCGCTGCGATATTCGTTGCACCACTCGGTTTTTCCTACCGCCTTCCACTTCATTCCCAATTTGTTCCTTCCTCTAACGGAAATATCCCTCACACTGAAAACTATATGTTATTTTTTATTTTCTGGAGCATGTTTTTATGGTAGCAAAAGTTTCACTATTTTGTAAACAATTTTTATCAAATTTAAAGCATTATAAATAAAATGTTTATATACTAGTATCCTATTGAAATTATTAATATCCGTTTAAAAGCGATGTGTATATAAACTTATTCATCATAATTATATATGTACGTTTTTCTTTCTGTGCAGCTATAAGCTGAAAACAAGTTTTCTTTTCCATATGTTGACAAAACAAATGCCTTTGGCACTTTAGTTTTTTTCCTATTTTTTACCATGGGCGTTGCAAAGGAACAATGAGAGGGGGAAAATGCATAGATAAGCTTGGCAAATGGAAATGCAAGAAAACTAACCTTAGACTATGCAATCGCAAATGTGTGTGTGTGTGTTTGTTTTTCCTGCAGAAACAACTTGTGGAATGTGCCATAAAAATAGAACAACTTCTCACATAAATGCATATGCTACAAAACGTACATCACACATGCACATACATATACATTTGCATGTGTATGACACATGCGTCATTCAGAGCAGTGCATAGGTATCTCAAGTATTCATTTAAACGTGAGACAAAAATAAAGTTGCAATCAAAAAGAAGGAAACAATCAAAGCCAGCAGATTTTCGATTTTTTCATTCATAAAAATTATACAAAAAAGAATGAAAGAACAAAGAGAATGGGATGAAGACAACCACACAACGCATCACACACACAGCTGCACGCAATGCAATGTGTGCACTGATAAAGCAGCATCTGTGGGTGATTGCTTGAGTGTGTGTGTTGGTTGAGTGCACAGTGCACCGCCTTTTTAAGAGAGAGATAAAAGCTGAAAGAAAAGAAAACACCAAAAATAAATACGCGAGGCGCCGCATGGCGTACACATCCATACATATATTGATTGGATTTTGCGGTGTATGCATCTGTTGTGTGTATGTGCTACAACGGTGCTCAAGAAAATAGAGATAATAAATAAAAATCTAAAGAAACGTTCTATTTCTACTATTAAACAATCATTTTTAGATTTCAATTAAATGAATTATTTCTCAAAATACGTAGCTATATTTTGATTAATTTTCCATTATAGTTCGGAGGATATTTGCAAAATACCTTTTTTCCGCCCGCGACTGTATCGCATTAAGGTCGCTCATTGATAACAAAAACAAAAACAGCAAAAAAGCGTTACCAGGTGTGCGTATGTGTTTGTGTGATTGCGCCAGAGGTCATTTGCTTAGAATCGGTCACATGTCAGGTAAAAGGAACAACATACACACATGCACCCATATGTACATGTGTGCACACCTGGTAAAATGAAAACAACCACAGCACAAAACAAAAACAAAACTGTATAATTGTTGCACAGACTAGTGGTTAATGAGTGTGAGTGAGACAGAGACAGGGCGCCGTGGTGAAGAGAGATAGGCGGGAGCGGGAGAAAACGATGCGCTCTCCTCTCTCATTGGATGCAGCCGGTGTGCTAGACGCAACAACAACAGCAAAAATATAACGCAACGTCAACGAACTGCAACTTGTCATTTGCATCGAAAAGAGCAACAAAAACAACAGCGAACCACACAAGCAGATGTTGTGACGCATGCTCAGCAATTACAGTTAGCCGACACAGTTTGCAAGCCACTGAATTGAGGGACTGGCAATATCAAAGTACATGATTTTCAGTTCAGCAATATGAAAAAGAAGAAGACGAAGACGAGGAGTAGAAATAGCGAACGGTGGCATAATTTTGTCCACGTTTCCTGGAAAAGCGCCACAGCCCCAAGTCGAGATATCGCCTGAGAAATGTGCTGGCATAAACGAATAAAAACAAAAAATGAAAAAAAAAACCGGTCAAAGCAAAGCGGGATTGCTGTGTGGAGAAAATAGCAAGCAACGAGCGCAACAACAAAATCCGGAGGGTGGCCTGTGAATGGCAAACGGGATTGGAATGCTGGAATGTCGGAATGCGAATGCATCTTTCACCTACGCTCTCTCTCTCTTGTGATCCCTCTTCACTTTGCTCAAGTTGTAATTTCCATTTACTAGGAGTAAATTTATGTACATATGTATACATGTATGTACCGCCAAACTAACGAATTTATTCGTCTAAATTTTCGAGCGTCTTTTAACTTTTTTTGGTTTGTCACACCTTTTTTTGAGCATTCAGCTGCACACAGTTTGACATTCACGCATGTGGTTTGACAGCTAATTAGGGATCATTCATGAAAAAGGAGTTAAAACGTTTATACGCTATTTGGATCGGTGAGTTTAACAGCGTACAAACCATTCAGTCCCGAAAAAAAATTCTCATTTCCATGGTAAACACCAAATACTTTAAAGTGGCTCAAATACTACACTTTTGACCCACTGTGCGCACATGTGTACTTCACATTCAATCATTCACAGCAAAAGGTGCGAATCCATCAAAGTCATATGTTGCGTATTTAGATCACATTTATACGACCACTCCCCCTTTTCGCAGCACCAAATCCGCAGATCTGGTTATATCAGATCATCATCACTCTTTCTCCATTAAGTTAAACTGAAGGAAAGTTGTCCGCAAATCGTCGTTAAACCTTAAGTTACACAAACATTACTGGGGTGGGGTGGTATGGTTATTCGAATCTTGTGTAGTAATATTATATATTTGCAAGAGTAAACATAAGTTTGAACTTATTTGGTTTTGTGACAGATGGTTTCAGTTATGGAAGCTCAACTGTAATTCTATTGGATTTGATAAGATATGGGCTAATTTATTTGTTTAGGTGCTTTAGCTAATAATAATGTGTGGAAGCTAAACATGCAACTTAACTTACTTTATTTTCATGTGGATTTTTTCTTTTGAAAAAATATGCCGATGAGCTGGTTTGTTTTTCATTGTGACTGCATTTTTTCTTAGATTTTCAAATGGGTTTATAATAAAATACAGTCCAGTACGTGGAAACTAGACTTTAGCTTCGTTTTGTTTGTTTATTTCCTCTTATTGGCTGGCCACAATGCATATGGCTGTGCCACGCCCACCGTTGCATTCGGCTCTCGACCAACCAGCCTCCGCGCCCCTTCATCTTGTTTTTCTTTTACCACCCTTTTGGTCGTTTTGTTTACGTTTGCATGATGATGATAATCGCCAAAGCACAAATAAACCAACAAATCGAAATGAATAGCAATTGTACTCATGCATTAGAAAATGGAACACATTTGTCATGGATACGAATGTATATTATACAATTACAGCTAAAGTAAGAGCACAAAAATGTCAAAATACGTGATTTCTAAAGTTTTTATTGTAAATGATTCACGATAGC